GTCTTTCTAAATTACCTGTAAAAGACATCTGGTTTAAAACATGTCAGCAAGTTGTGGTGGCTCACTCCTGTAATTCCAGCACTTTGGGAAGCTGAGGTGAGAAGATTGCCTGAGTCCAGGGGTTTGAGACCAACCTGGGCAACATGGTGAGACCTCGTCTTTATAATAAATAAAAAAAAGAAAAATTAGCCAGGCGTGGTGGCACATGCCTATAGTTCCAACTACTTGGAAGGCTGAAGCAGAAGGATCGCCTGAGCCCAGCAGGTGGAGGCTGCAGTGGCCGTGAATGTGCCACTGCACTCCAACTTGGGTGACAGAGTGAGACTCTGACTCAAATAAAAAAACAAACAAATAAATAAACCATGCAGTACTTTGGGAGGCCGAGGCAGGAGGATTGCTTGAGCTCAGGAGTCAAAGACCAGCCTAGGCAAGACAGTGAGACCTCCTCTCTACAAAAAAATCAAATAGTAAGCCAGGAATGGTGTTGTGTGTCTGTCTCAGCTAGCTACAAGGGCGACTGAGGTGGAAGGATCACCTGAGTCCAGGAGGTTAAGGTTGCCGTGAGCCATGATCATACCACTGTGCTTCAACCTGGGCAATAGACTGAAATCTCAACTCAAAAAAAAGTATGCTATAATTCTGGTTTATATGTTTGTTTTTCTTTTTTCTTTCTTTCCTCTCTCCCCCATCACACTTCTCCCTATATGTTTGTTTTTAATTAGCGGTCAGGTTCTTGAGGTCAAGGAGTGTTTTGCAGAAACTTTGAAGTATCAGTGCCTGGCAGAGAGCTGGAAATGTATTAATGTGTGATGAAATAATGTTTTTTTGTTTTTGTTTTGAGTTGGGGGCCCACTTTAATGCCCAGGCTGGAGTGCAATGGCACACTCATGGCAACTACAGCCTCGATCAGCTGGGCTCAGGTAATCCTTCTGCCTCAGCCTTCCAACTAGCTGGAACTATAGGCACAAACCATGGTACCTGGCTATTTTTTTTTTTTAACTTTTTGAGTCAGAGTCTCACTCTGTTGCCCAGGCTGGAGTGCAGTGGCATGCTCACAGCCACTGCAGGCTTTATTTACTGAGCTCAGATGATCCTTCCACCTCAACCTTCTAAGTAGCTGGAATAACAGGTGCGTGCCACCATGCCCGACTAATATTTTGATTTATTGTAGAGACAAAATCTCACCAAGTTGCCCAGGCTGGTCTCGATCTCCACCTCCCAAAATGCTAGGATTACAGGCACAAACCACCACCCCCTGGTGAAATAGTATGTGTTTTTTTTCTTTTTTTGAGTCGGAGTCTCACTCTGTTGCCCAGGCTGGAGTGCAGTGGCATGCTCGCTACCACTGCAGCCTCAACCTGCTGGGCTCAGGTGATCCTTCTACTTCAGCCTTTCAAGTAGCTGGAACCACAGGCACGTGCCACCACTCCTGGCTGATTTTTTAATTTATTGTAGAGACAAGGTCTTGCCAAGTTGCTCAGGCTGGTCTCAAACCTCTGGACTCAGGCAATCCTTTCGCCTCCACCTCCCAAAGTGCTGGGATTACAATTGTGAGCCACCACTCTCAGCTGAAATAATATTTTTAATTTCAAGACTACAGCTAGAAAGAGGAATGAGGGGTAAATGATTTTGTGTCTTGTCTCCTTCCAGTCTGGAGGCCAGTATGAACTTTTTGCTGTGATTGCCCACGTGGGAATGGCTGACTCCGGTCATTACTGTGTCTATATCCGAAATTCTGTGGATGGAAGATGGTTCTGCTTCAATGACTCCAATGTTTGCTTGGTGAGAAACATCATTCACAGTTGCCTCTTGCCCTGGATTAGCTGTCTCTAATAAATTTTGGGCCCAGGACTGCATGGTTCCTTAAGATCAAGACACACTGTGCACAGAAGGACAACGGTGCTAAAAAGTCTTCATTGTAAATGATGCAGGGGTGCCCAACCTTTTGGCTTTCCTGGGCCACATCAAGTAAAGAGGAATTGTCTTGGGTGGCACATAAATGGTAGAATATAATTAGCATATATACATACTAAGACTTCTTTTTAAAATAATTTTTACTATAACGTTTAGAAAAATGAGAACAAGATAAAACTAGTGGGAAATGTGACCCTGTTTTTGTAAAACAAATCAACATCTGGTTCGATGGAAGCGGTCACAATTCTGAGTGAGCTCTCAAATGTCAGAAATGCTTGTTCAGACTTTGTTTTTCATGTGCTTCCTCATGGAAAACAGCTGCTCACAAATGCATGCGCTGCCAAGAAGCCATGTCATGAATAATAGGCGTGATTGTGAACTTCAAAAGTGGAACTACACCTGGGGTCACGAAGAAAATAAACACCAGGAGACACATGATGTTAAATGCATTTGTGGGGCCATGTGACTAGCTGTCCTGGGCCATGTGAGGCCGGTGGGCTGCAGGTTGGACATGCTGGCTTTAGAGGCGCCGGGTTCTTGGGCGCCACAGGGGCGGGGGGGGCTGTCTGGAGAAGTGAGGAGGAGCAAGGCGAGGCAGAGCACCTGGTACTCCGTGGGCGCTTAATAAATGTCAGCTAGCTGCTTGACTCACTTGTTTATGGACTTCCAGGTGTCTTGGGAAGACATCCAGTGCACCTATGGCAATCAGGACTACCACTGGTAAGAAAAGTATTTGGATGATGGAAACCTGATGAACTTCCCCAGGGTCCTTGGAGTTGTGGGACTCTCAGATTCAACTGTCCCGAATATGCGGATGACTCCAGTGACTAACTGTTCAGTCTCGTCTTTTTTTTTAAATGGGAGTCTCACTCTCGTCGCCCGGACTGGAGTGCAGTGGCACTCTCATGGCCACGGCAGCCTGTTGGACTTACGTGATCCTTCTGCCTCAGCTTTCCAAGTAGCTGGAACTACAGACGCACGCCACCATGCCCAGCTAGTTTTTGTGATTTATTGTAGAGACGGGGTCTCACCACGTCACCCAAGCTGGTCTCGAGCCAACCCCCAGGCTCAGGCAATCCTCTCCCCTGGGCCTCTCAAAGTGCCGACTACAGACTGAGCCACCCTGCCTGGACAGCCTCACCTTTTAACACCCATCCCGCTAGACCATACTTTTCTTTAAGTATATAATTTAGACTCTGATAATACTCAAGTGTAAGTAGCTCTCCAAACAGCTGTCCTCCTTTTTCCTTCTGTGACTGTCCTTTACTGCCCTCTCCTAATTTACCATCTAGGCAAACTCCCACTCACTTTTTTTTTTTTTTTGAGTTGGAATCTTGCTCTGCCACCCAGGCTGATGTGCAGCGGCAGGCTCATGGCCACCGCATCTTTGACTGCTGGGCTCAGGCGATCCTTCAGCCTCAGCCTTTCAAGTAGCTGGGACTACAGGCGCCTGTCACCATACCCGTGCTGTCCAGGCTGGTCTCGAGCTCCTGAGCTCAGACAGTTCTTCACCTCGGCCTCCCAAAGCGAGAGCCATTGTGCCGGCCCACTCAGATTTTCTCTTACTCTAAAGCCTTTACTGATTCACCCAGACAGACTCGTAGAGGCTTTTCATATGCTTTCAATCCAATTTTGAGCATACCCCCTTTATAGCAAGGATCACATTTTTGTTGTTGTTGTTTTTTTTTTGAGTTGGAGTCTCACTTTGTCGCCCAGACTGGAGTGCAGTGGCCGCTCCTGGCCACTGCAGCCTCGACCTGCTGGGCTCTGGCGATCCTTCCGCCTCAGCCTTCCAAGTAGCCAGAACTACAGGCATGCGCTACCACGCCCGGCTGATTTTTTGATTTATTGTAGAGATGAGGTCTCGCTGCCCAGGCGGGTCTCGAACCCGCGGGCTCAGGCCATCCACTCACCTCAGCCTCCCAAAGGCGCGGGATGACAGGCTGAGCCACCGAGCCTGGCAAGATTTCCTTTTTCATCCTCTTTGTCTGGATTGCATTTAGTAAGTAGCAATACATATTTTTTTTTAAATCAATAACTACATAGGAGAATCTGGAGAGAAAAAAGCTGGTAAGGTTAAGGCAGAGAAACTTTATAACTTTTCTCAGCTTTGTTTTCAGGCTGTATACCAAAGCTGATATTTGAGATGGTTTTTAGCTGCCATCATTCAGAAAATAATGAATTAGGTGAAACTTAATTGTGTGTTTGAAACTCTCCTACTTTTTTCTATTTTCTACTCTTCTACTCTTCTGTTTCTTCTGAGCAGCTCTCTTAGATGCCCATTCTTTGTCACTATCTAGTTGTCATCAATTTTCCCATTCTTTAGATCAGGAGGCGGCAGACTCTCTGTAAAGGGCCAGAGGTGAAATATTTCAGGCTTTGGGGCCCATCTGGTCTCTGTTACAGCCACTTCCCTTTGCCCTGTAGCACAAAATCAGCCATGGACACTGCATGATTAATGAGCATGACTGTATTCCAGTTAAATTTATTTGCAGGCCGAACTTGGTGACTCAGCCTGTCATCCCAGCACTTTGGGAGACTGAGGCGAATGGATTGCCTGAGCCTGTGGGTTTGAGACCCACCCGGGTAACTTGGCAAGACCTCATCTCTACAATGAAAAAAATTTAAAAAGTTAGCTGGGTGTGCTAGTGTGCGCCTGTAGTTTTGGCTACTCGAAGGCTGAGGCGGAAGGATCGCCAGAGCCAGCAGGTCGATGCTGGGGTGGCTATGAGTGTGCCACTGCACCGGGGTGAGAGTGAGACTCCAACTCAAAGAAAAAAAAATGTATTTGCAAAAACAGGGTTGGATTTGGCTCATGGGCCCGTAGTGTTGTCAGCCTCTGGCTTGGATATTAACTATTAGAAACTCAGTAGTTATTTTCCTAGATCACCCATTTGCTTCCCCTCTGAGGTGATGGATAGACGACCACTTGATCCAACAACTTGATTTGTTGGACATTTGTTGATGCTTGTCTTACGAATTAACAATGTATCACTTCATGATGAATGTTTCATTTCACAAGGACAACACATTTTCTCTTCTTTGTAGGCAGGAAACTGCATACCTTCTGGTTTACATGAAGATTAAGTCCTAGCGGATGCACCCTACACCTCCAGTGACTGACAAACGAGCATTTTTTTTTCTATTCCTGGATCACCTGAGTCTTCTAAGAGATTTTTCAGTGAGAAGTATGATTTTCAAACTATATAATCAAAACTTATTTATCATCAGAGATATTATCAAAATATTTAACAATGACTCCACACAGGTCCCGATCAGCCAGAATGGATACTTTCACCAGGGACCTGGGTCACGTGACTGGATCAGGGTCCTGGGCGCTCCCTGCTGTGCAAGACATTAACCCCTTAATTAGGAGATTGTGGGGAGTCCAGGTGCTCCTAGGCAGGAGAGCAATGGTAATGAGAGGCATTTGGGTGGCAAGGGTGAGTGGTGGGCAAGTATTTTAATATTTTGCAATATTGTTATTCATTCATTCATTCATCAAATATTTATTGATCACCTATTCCCCATATGATGGTGTACAAGGCACCATAATGAATAAAGTTTTTTCTTCCAAAGGAGTTTGCAGTTTAATGGGAGAATGGTAATGAAAATACATAAAATTCTGAGGGCTTGTGCTGTAGGACTTTAAAGGCAAGTGAAATCACTTCTGTGGTGGAGCCATGGGGAAGCCTTCAGGCTGGGAGGGGTTAAGATGGGGAACAACGATTTATTTATTGATTTTGAGTCAGAGTCTCTCCATTGCCCAGGCTGGAGTGCAATGGCATGCTCACGGCCACCACAGCATCGATCTGCTGGGCTCAGGCGATTCTTCTGCTTCAGCCTTCCAAGTAGCTGGAACTACAGGTGTGCACCACCACGCCCAGCTAATTTTTTGACTTATTGTAGAGATGAGGTCTTGCCATGTTGTCCAGGCTGGTCTTGAACTCCTGAGCTCAGGCAATTCTCTTGCCTCAGCCTCCCAAAATGCTGAGGTTACAGGTGTGAGCCACCGTACCTGGCCTAGGAAAACTATTTGTAGGGAAAAGCACACTCAGTGGCCTGGCTGAAGAAGGCAGTGCTCAACGTTCAAAGACTTAGGCCGATGTACCAGTGTTACAGGAAAGATGCAAAGAATTGCACAAAGAGTAAATCAGAAAGAAAAAGTTTATTTAGAAAGTAGAACAGAGAAAGGCCGGGCGCAGTGGTTCAAGCCTGTAATCCCAGCACTTTGGGGGGCCGAGGTGAGAGGCTTGCCTGAGCCTGTGGGTTCGAAACCAGCTTGGGCAACATGGTGAGAAGTTATCTCTACACTAAAATCAAAAAAATTAGCTGGGCGTGGTAGTGTGTGCCTGTAGTTCCGGCTACTTGGATGGCTGAGGTGGAAGGATTGCCAGAGCCCAGTAGGTCGACACTGGGGTGGCCGTCAGTGTGCCAATGCCCCGAGGCCTGGGCGACAGAGTGAGTCTCTGACTTAAAAAAAAAAAAAAAGAAAATAGGCCAGGCTCGGTGACTCAGCCTGTAATTTCAACACTTTGGGAGGCCAAGGCGAGTGGATTGCCTGAACCCGTGGGTTCCAAACCCGCCCGGGCAACTTGGCGAGACCTCGTCTCTACAATAAATCAAAAACTAGCCGGGTGTGGTAGTGCGCGCCTATAGTTCCAGCTACCTGGAAGGCTGAGGCGGAAGGATCGCCGGAGCCCAGCAGGTCGAGGCTGCGGTGGCCATGAGCATGCCACTGCACTCCAGTCTGGGCGACAGAGTGAGACTCCAACTTGAAAAAAAAAAAAGAAAATGGAACAGAGAAAGAGGGTAGATCCACCTCTCCAAGACTGGAGAGGGGGCCAGGTACTTAATGAATGTTTGATGGCAAATGTTTAAGGCACATGGCTTATCAAGGCTTTCTTTAGGGGTCCAGTAGCATCTCTGGGTGAGATCACACAAGAGCTGTCACCATGGTGATGGTTTGTAAAAAGCATTGCTGTGAAATGTAACAGTGGGAGGGGGGTTATTGCCATGGTGATTAGCTGTTCAGGATGGCAGCAGCTGTTTTAGCAGCGTTTTAGATAATTGATTATGTAGACAAGGACATTAGCCCCAGGTCTGTAAAACTAAGTTTCAAGACACAAACATTCATCTTTGAACATCCTTGGATTTAGGGAACAAAAAGGCACTCAGCTGGAAGTGTGTTCTGTTGCTCATGGGTAAGATAGCAGGAAGACTGGGGTAGAAAAACATACTTGGGAAAATTGTAGGAAGACTGGGGCCATCATAATTTGTTTCTTTTATCTCGGTGACTGGATGGTTTGTCATGTAAGATAGCTAGAAACTCATCCTTGGAGCAAGGATGTTAATTATAAAATCCTGATGCCTGTGACTGGGGTTAGCTTACAGCAATATTTATCAGTGACTCTGAACAGTGGAGTTAACTAAACTTAGTTTAGAGCAAGAGCTAGCGGAGCCATTCACAAAATAAAACATTATTCACTACAGCCTACCACTAACTGATAGTTATAACAAGACAAAAAATATGAGCCAATGCCAAGCTGCCTGCCCACAATGGCCAAGGTAACTCCATTTCGGCTTTTTGTCCTTTCAAAGACCATTCACAAATTAGGATTTTCTATACCAAGGAAGCAAGTGGTGAGAAATAACGATGGGAATGTAGACAGAATTCAGAATGCAGAGGGTCTTGAACTAGGCTAAGAAGTCTGGATCGAATTTGGTAGGTCATGAACCATTTAAGAAGTTTGAAGAGGAGCGGAATGCTGAGTTGTCCTATGTTGGATCGCCTGAGCCCAGCAGGTTGAGGGTGCAGTGGCTGTGAGGTGCCAGTGCACTCCAGCCTGGGCGACAGAGTGAGCCTCGACTCAAAAATAAATAAAACACTGTTGTTTATTTATTTGTTTATGTTATTTTTTATTTTTATTTTTGAGTTGGAGTCTCACTCTGTCGCCCAGACTGGAGTGCAGTGGCCACTCCAGGCCACCGCTGCCTCGACCTGCTGGGCTCTGGCGATCCTTCCGCCTCAGCCTTCAAAGTAGCTGGAACTACTGACACATGCTACCACGCCCGGCTAATTTTTTGATTTATTGTAGAGATGAGGTCTCGCCAAGTTGCCCAGGCGGGTCTCGAACCCGCGGGCTCAGGCAATCCACTCACCTCAGCCTCCCAAATTGCAGGATTACAGACTGAGCCACTGAGTCCCGCTAAGTACTGTTGTTTATAAACAAACAAACAAATGTGATTGATGAGGAAATGGTTTATTTTCAGGATTGCTGGACAGAAGCTGCTTAACTGGTTTGTAAATGTGATGCAACCCAGAAATGCTCTGACTCCTTAAGATAGAGGCTGGTCACCAGCCCTTTGTTTTCTTCACTTCCTGGTTCTTCCCCCCACCCCCTTTGAGAATTTAGCGGGCTTATTTTCATGTGCTTTATTCTGGACATGGGCCTGAAAACAAAGAAGAGAAAAGGGAAGGGGAGGACGGTCAGCACGTCACATTAGGGCTTTGGAAAGAGAAACTTATATCCTTCAATCAGATATTGACAAATATCTACAGGGACCGTTTCTTGCCATATTTGGATGAAAAATACTTAGTCGATGTTCAGGAAAGGTTGTAACCTCCGTAATACTCAGTCAATGAGGAACCAGGGAGGAGTTCGTGCACTAGGAGACTAAAAGCTAGTCATAACCACCTTGGGTGTGCCTGCCCACCAGACACCTGATCTTGCAAGATCATCATTAAAGTCTCGCTTCTGTTGCACTTCGTGTCTCCATGTCCATCCTTTGAATTTTGGATGGGTGAGCTTGTTTCTCACAATTTGGGGGTTTGTCAGGGATGCTCTGTGTCTGTGGGAGGGGGACCCCTGCAGAGGGGAAGACATGGAAGGAGAAAATAATTGAGGAGTTACTGAGAGAAACTCAGTTTTTGTGAGAAGAGGAAAAATAGAAACAAAAGGCAAAAACCATGGTTTCCACTGTAGAAGAGGCAGTCAAGAAAAGACTAGACCAAGGTCTTCCTCCAAAGGGGAAAAGAAGTTAAATTTCAACAGGGAGGTAAAAGGGAAATGCAGGGAAAATTGCCTAAGAGTGTAAATGGATGCTACAAAAGTGGGAAGCTAGGATACTTTAAGAGGGAATGTCCTAAATGGGAAAAAAGAAGAGAAGGTGATCCCCCCTCCATGACCTTTGATGAGGACTGGAGGGTCAAGGGTTCCTTTTTAATGGGTCCCACCAGGAACCCTTGATAAATTTGAGGGTGGGACCGGAGAGGGAGAAGGTGATTTTTTTAAGTTGATATTGGGGAGCCTTGCTTCTATCAGCTGAGGGAAACAGAATTCTCTAAGGAGAAATTAACTGTATCAGGGGTGAAAGGAGAGAGATTTCAGCTCCCAGTTTTCAAGAGAATGTTAATTAGATTGGGATCAGAATAAGCAGAGGAATCGCTCCTGTATGTCCTCAAAGCAGGAACTAACCTCCTAGGTGGAGACCTGACTGTGATACTAGGTTTAGGATTAAGAGTGGAAGAAAGGCCGGGCTCGGTGGCTGAGCCTGTAATCCCAGCACTTTGGGAGGCTGAGACGAGTGGATTGTCTGAGCCTGCAGGTTCGGGACCAGCCCAGGTAACTTGGTAAGATCTCCTCTCTACAACCAATCAAAAATTAGCCTGTGGTTCCACCTACTTGGAAGGCTGAGGCGGAAGGATCACCGGGACCCAGCAGGTCAATACTGGAGTGGCCATGAGTGTGCCACTGCACTACAGCCTGGGTAATGGAGTGAGACACCAACTCAAAAAAAAAAGTCAAAGAAAGACAAATACGAGTAACGATGGGCCTTCTAACAGCAGAGGAGGAAGAGTAAATTGATCCCCTTGTGTGGGTTAGGGAAGGCAATAGAGGCAGACTAAAGATCACACCTTTATGGACAGAACTGAAGAAACCAGGAGAAGTGATTTGCAAGAAACTATATCCCATTCCCTTTGAGGAAAGGAAGGATCTTCAACCAGTAAGAGAGAGTTTAATTAGAGATGGACTGCTAGAACCCTGCATGTCACCATCCAACACTCCGAACCTTCCAGTCAAGAAACCAGATGGGTCACATAGACAAGTATAAGACTTAAGGGCCATAAATCACATTGTCCAGGCCCACCACCCTGTGGTGCCTAATCCCTACACCCTTCTTAGTAAAATCCCTTACAAACACAAGTGGTTTGGTGTGGTGCATTTAAAAGATGCATTTTGGGCGTGCCCCTTATATTCTGGAAGCAGAGAACTCTTTGCCTTTGAATGGGAAAATCTGGTAACTGGGAGTAAACAGCAGTATCGCTGGACTGTGTTGCCACCAGGCTTCACAAATGCTCCAAGTTTATTTGGCCAAATCCTAGAAAAGGTCCTAGGAGAAGTCCAATCTTCCATCGGAACTCTGCTATTACAGTATGTAGATGATATTTTAATTTCAGGAAAAAGAAAATAAAAGTATTAGAGACCACCATAAGTTTGCTCAACTTTTTAGGTGAAAGGGGATTACGGGTCTCTAAGAATAAACTACAATTCATGGAAGAGGAAGTCAGATACCT